GTGTGCTCTTCCGATCTCGATTGATGTGATTTTTATGTTCGGCAATTCTCTTTTTTAATTGTCTCTTCGTTTGGCCCACATAGGATGCAATGCAGTCCTTACAATTGATTTTGTAAACTGTATTCTGTTTCTTTTCCTCTGGGATCTTTTCTTTGTGTCCTTTGATAATCCTCTCAAGTTTGTTAATGCTATAAAAGGCTGGTTTTGCCTCAAATTTCCCCGAGATGTTGTTAAATTTATCCGAGATTTTTTTAACGAAAGGAACTGTGAACCATTTAATTTTTTTATTTTCTATATCTGCCGTTGTATTATTATTATTCGTTGTAATTACATTGTTAGCTTGATTTTTATCACCATTATTTAATAGCATTTTTAATCTGATGTTAATTGCATTCATGATAAACTTGAGAGGATAATCATTTTCTAAAAATGTTTTTATAATAGTATAAAGTTTTTTTATTACTTCTTTTAAAAGATGGCTTTGTATTTCCACAGATATTCCGTTAATTAAAAAGTACGCAATTATCAGTTTAAATTTTTGACTGTAAGATACGATTTGAAAAGATAAAGCTTCTCTAGCAAATTTTTCAGTATCACCTTCAATTATGCCACTATAATCAACTGTTCCACAATATTTATCAGAACTTTCATCAAAAATTATTTGTGAACGTATAGCCATCGAATTACTAATGAGACATTTCGTAAATAATTTTTTCTTTAATTGCATTATATTTTCTAAATATATAAAAGATTCTTGAAGAAATCCTGGATTACAATTACATTTAGCCATTGACATAAAGTAGCGCTATGCGGTAAAGTAAGCTTTTCTCTTAAAAAATCATATGCTTTTGGATTATAATAATACATAGTCATAGCAAATTCTTTAATATTTTCAGAGTAAGTTTTCTTAGTAGAAGCATTATTCCAAAGCTCATTCCAAAATAATTCCCTTTTTTCCTGAGAGACATACTTGTTAAGAGCATCTTTTATAATTTTCATACCATCACCTTTTTCTTCAGCTTCTTTCAAACGATCCTCCAAGTATTTAATTTTATTATCATGCATGTGTTTTCAAGCGTTTTTTAAAATTGTACGTGTACATATTCTTTGCATGTTTTATCACAGCTCCGTTTTAAAGTTTGCACACCAATAGCTTTTCTTGAAATATTTGAATGTTTACTTACCTAAAAAAAATGTAGATAAAGTTTTTCATATAATTTTCATATTATAATTTTTAATTCATAATTTTCAATTAATAACTTTATTATACCATTTCAATATCAAAATAATTTTCATTATTAACTTGCGTATCAATTTCCATGTTCAAAATATTAGGCAAGTTTTCCTTTTTTTATAATATAAATATATTATTCTTTTGTAAATAAACTGTATTATACACACGCACACGCACACGTATATATAATAGCTGTGTGATTTTGTATACATTTCCTATATAGTTCTTCAAATTGCGTGTTGTTATTGCTGGTTTTAAAACACAATTATTTAAGTAATTATAAAATTATTAATAATTTAAATAAAAATAGTATGTTAAATCAGAATAGTCACAATATTAACCAAAATTATAACAATATTAAATTAATAATTAATTCAGTAATATTAATGCTAAACATCATCTCTTATAATAAGATCCTCTATCTCATCTCACCAAAATATTGTAAATAATTCATCTCTACAAAAAAGAAACTAGGAAGTGTATATAAAATCACACGGAAAATATGAAACACTAAGATTCTGACCGTTTGTTGACCCATCTTCTACCATCAAACCCATCAAACTAAATTAAAAAATTTATCTTTAATTGAACTGATTGCTGCTGATACTCTTTAAATATGGTTGAAATAGCATCATGATTTAATACATTTTTTAGAGTATGTTTGTATATAAAAGACTCAAGCGTAAAATGTTTACTACCTATTTTAATACTTAAAAATGTACAGATAAGGCTCTTACGAATAAACAATTCGAATATCAGGAAGAAGCGTTAAAGAGCCAAACGCAGGATGAAATTTGCTTAAGTGATTATAATTTTAACATAACCAAATTAAGAATAGATCGACAAAATACAATACAAAAAACAATATCAAAAAACCTCGACGTTTCGACCCTAAATATGTGGTCATCTTCAGAGAGATAGGCGGTAACGCATTATATAAAAAACATAACTTACATCTTATTCGTATCTTATTATAAATAATATTCGCACACGGACACAATCAAGATGGTATAGACGTGGAGGATCCTGGTTTAGTCATTTCATTATTTTTATAATGTCCTCTTACAAATATGTGAGGTAACCCATGATTTTAACGCATGTGTTTGAAAAGAAATTTTTGACATGGTGGTCTCTAGGAAACAAGAGATCAGAGGAAAAATTAGATTTAAATTAGGATCCGTCAATCTTCCGAATAAAACAACACCGAATAAATAGTTATAAATTCCAGAATAAATCTTGTAAAAAGAACTTAATAACAAAGAACAAATATGATGAATCAAGTCAAAAAGTTAATATACCAAAACGGTAAGTCGGAAATTCTTTTTTAAAAAATTTTTTATATAAATTAAATGCTAAACATTGTTTAAGTCGTACATATAAAATCGTTAAATTAAGATAAAGAATTTTGCATGTCCTTACATATCAAGATTGACGGAACCATTCCTCTGTCTCTAACTATTGAGTTTGACGGAATTTTTCTTCCACCGTGCGATCCCAGTATTCTAGACACTGTCAATTTTTTAAATGGCAGTGGTGTAACGAACACTCTTTGTGAGACCGGACAGTAGAGGAGGGAGAAGAAGTGGGGATGTGTGAAGATGGAGGGTAGCTATATCAGAGAAAGGTGGTCTAAAATTGGTAGATAAGAGTCCGAAAATAATACAGTGTCACTTCGTTTGTTTAACCCACTAAATTGTTTCTTTATATGAAGCATTTCAGATATATTTCTCTTTTTAAAAGAAGATTCTTTATCTAGGATCTGTACATTATCCCAGTCGAACTCAGACAAACGATGTTCTGTGATTACTGAGGGCGAGCCCTTCTTTTATTAATGTCCAATCTATGTTCGTGTACACGAGTTTTTAATTGACGTTTAGTTTGGCCAACGTAACTCGCGTCACAATTTATGCAATTGATCTTATACACAACATCACAGGCAGACATTTTATTGAGAGTATCTTTGCCCGTTCTGATAAAATTCTTCAGTGTATTAGGAATCGAGTACGCAATCTGACTGTTAATATTCTTGGACATTAGAGATAATTTTTCTGACAATGAATTAATATACGGAACTACAAACCGTTTTTTCTTATTAGGAATGTCATTTATAACGTTATTCTTTGGTTTATAAAACAGATATTTTAATCTATCTCTGATCGTATTAAAAATAAATTTTAATGGATATCCATTTTCAAGAAGGATCTCTGTCATGTAAATAAAATTTTTCTGATGAAATTTCGGATGTGATAACGAAATTATCTTGTCAACCATCCCTAAAATAATGCCTTTTTTATGTGTAGTAGGATGATTTGAGTTGAAATTTAAATACCTTCCTGAGGATGTCGGTTTTTGGAATATGTCAAAAATGATCTTGCCACTCTCCCTAATCAGTTTGACATTTAAAAAACTAATACAATCGTTATCTTCTGTCTCTATTGTGAATTGTAATCTTTCATGTAAAGAGTTGAAAGTGTGCAAGAGTTGAAAATATTAAATTAAGTTTATTCTTTGGTGCTGCTAACAAGATATCATCTACATATCTGAAATAAAACTGTAATTTGCAAGATAGACGTTCTATCAGTAGGAAAGATAGGCCGGTTCTAACCCAGGAGCTCCGAGGGGAGAGCGGGGCGGGGAGGAATTTGCGCGGGGGGATGACGTCACAGGCGGTAACCGCCGAGATGTTTATATAAACATGGCCATGTATGTTTACATAAACATTGATAGCGGCGGGCTCATTGAGTATAAATTAACATGGGCCATGTATGTTTACGTAAACAATGATAGCGGCGGGTTCATTGAGTATAAACATGGGCCATGTATGTTTACGTAAACAATGATTTCGCGGGGCCCCGCCGCGCCCCCGCGCCGTCGCGGGCCGCGTTCGTGGGTCGCGTTTTCGCGCACGCGGTCTCCCTCACACATAGCGCGTCCATAGCGCGTCCTCCCTTCCACGCATAGCGCGCCTATAGCGTGTTCTCGTTCCTACGCACGCTACCGCACCGCTGCCATGCTTGCTCGCTTACGCGCACGCTGCCGCGCCGCCGCCATGCGCACGCGGTCTCCCT